TAGACCCATTTCGAGCCAATTGCCTTCTTATTCGAAGGGAGTGGTACTAAAGACCAAGTGCTGTTGGCAGCCAATGCATCTAATTCCTCCTTCATTGTCGTCCTCCAGTGTGAGTGTTTGACAACTTCTTTAAAACTAGTGGGCTCCTCATCTGCAGTAATCGCTGCCAAAAAACTTCTGTGTGTGGAAGAAAAATTATCATAATTAACAAATTTAGTGATGCACTGAGCCGTACCTGAAGTGGGGATTGGAATGGTTGGACAAGTCGGTGCACCACGAACAGTGTGCATGACAAAGTCCCGGAGATGCGTCGGAGGACGTCCTTCACGGTGGCTGCGGCGATTGGATTCCCCATCTTGAGGGACGGCTAGTATGGACGGAAGGCTGGTGGTGGATTCTTGGGTAGGTGGAGAGGGGCTGTTTGTGTCGGGTGAGGAGGACGAGCTGGGAGGTGTAGTTTGGGTTTCGGTGGAGAGGGTTTCGGCACAGGTGCTTTGGTGGGAAGTGTCTGTTTGAGTGTGTTGGGGCAACACAGGTGCTTTGGCGGGTACGATTGTGGCGTCCAGTTCGTCATCCACAAAGTCGTTCGCCAGAGGAGGGTTTATCGGGAGCTGTGGTGGTGCGACAGATGGAAAGAAATTTTCAACGAATTTAACGTCCCGACTGACAAAGACTTTGTTTGTTTCGAGATCTTGCAATCGCCATCCCTTTTGCCCAAAAGGATATCCAAGGAAGAGACAACGGCGTGAATGGCTAGCAAATTTATCCCCGTGTGTGAGTTGACTATGCGCATAGGCCAGACAGCCAAAAGTGCGCAGATGAGAATATGACGGTTCTTGACCAAACAGGAGAGTATATGGAGTTTTCCCATTTAACAAGGGTGTGGGGGTACGATTAATAAGGTACGCTGCGGTGAGAATACAATCACCCCAGTAGGATATAGGGAGATTTGCTTGGAATCGGAGGGCACGTGCTATGTTAAGGATATGTCTGTGCTTGCGCTCAACTCTCCCATTATGTTGAGGAGTGCCGACGCAAGAGGATTCAAAAATAATTCCTTGAGAGGAAAAATATGGTTTCATGCACGTGAATTCTGTGCCGTTGTCACTACGAAGTATTTTTATCTAGGCATTAAACTGACGCTGGGCAAAAGAGAAAAAATTGCGTAAGACACCAGGTGTCTCATCTTTGTTGTTTAGGAGATACACCCAGGTGGCTCGAGAAAAATCACTGACGATGGTTAAAAAATATTTAGCCCCAGTCCGTGATAGTGTGCGGTACCCCCCCCCCCCCACAAATCACAGTGTATTATGCAAAAAGGAACATCTGCTTTATTCATACTGATAGGAAAAGAATCACGACATTGTTTTGCACGAAAACATACATCACAAGGTAAGGAAGTGTTTGAGGAGGAGGAACAAAAAGGAAGAAAACGACAAACTTGTTCACACGTTCCAATCACCTTCTTCGAGATACAGTCCTGTATAACACAAGATTTGTTAGTAAACTGGATAATCAATCTTCCACTTTCGAGAAGTTGTGAGACAGAGATTAAATTGCAATTGAGTTGGGGCACTAGCAAAACATTGGTTAGTTTCAAAGAGTTTTGGAGAACGACATCCCCCGCATGCACGGCCAGTGCACTGTCGCCGTTGGGCAGGCCGACGTTGCACGCTTTGATGGGGCGGATGTTCTCCAACCGGTCTCTGTCTCCCGTCATGTGCTGGCTAGCACCGCTGTCGACGATCCAAGAACTTTTGGGTGCACCTGAAAATTGATTCTCACACTGGACGTTGGCCTGTCCTGCGAAATAACCTTCTCCGGTTCTGTCCTTTGACTGCTCTGGTTTATTCGCACTACGCCCAGCGGCAGTGCCCCCTCCGCCGTTGCGCCTGCCGGCTTGCGCCCCACTACCGCCGCGACCTCCTCCACGTCCGCCACTCTGCATACGTGGTTCCGGGTACCCTATTATTTGGAAACAGCTGCTGATTTCGTGTCCCGTTTGGCCGCAGTGCTTGCACTTAAGGTTGTTGTCCCGTGTTGGTTTCCCCGTGGCTACAGCGAAACCCATAGGGTTTCGGTCCTCTTCGGTTGTCAGTTTTAACACCCCTTCCTGCTGGGTTATCACCGAATATACTCTGTTGATGGAAGGAAGCAGCTCGGTGCTGAGGATGTTCGAGCGTAGGCTTCCATAACCTTCATTATCTAGGCCCATCAGAAATTGATGCACCTTCTCTTCATCACGTTGTTTCTCCAATAGTGCGGTTAAGCCCCACTTGCATCCACCACACCTGCACGCCGGGACCTTCAACATATCATACAATTCATCCCAGATTGCTTTCAATTTGCCATAGTGCTTAACGATCTCCTGGCCGTTTTGTTTTGTGTTTGCCAGTTCCTTTTTCAACTGGTGGATCCGCGGACCGTTCGCCACGGAGAACCTCGCCTTTATATCATTCCACAAATCAGCCGCTACTTCCACTTGTGTAATGGAGTTCCGCAAGTCCGTCTCGATGGTGTTGTAGATCCATGAGACAAGCATGGCGTTTACGAATTACGATCCACCATTCTTCCACCTCGTCGGAGTCTTCTTTGGGACAAGCTATTGATCCGTCGATGAATCCAAACTTCCTCTTGGCGCGGAGAGCTATCCTCATCGCTCTCGCCCATTCTTCGTAGTTCCTTCCGGTCAGTTTAACCTGAGTAATCAGCAATCCTGGAGTGTCCACGGACTTCAAAACGTACGGACTCGGCTTTTTCATCTCATCGCCGGTATCCGTGGTTTCGGTCGGTGTCTCGTGTTTTGGCTTCGGAGCTTCCGTCATGATGATCGTTGCTCCGATACCATGAAAAACTGCAATACGGCAGTAAACAAACTGGAAGCCAAAATATTCTCTTTGTTAATATCTTCTTTATGTATAAAGGTCTCCCCTATATATATGTGAGAGGTTCCCCCATAACCTATTAGGAAAAGAAGTCTACTGAACAACACAAATTGACTCCAACACAATAAGGAAAACCAAGTCATGCTAGGACTGTAACACTGCCAGACTCCTCCTTGCGCCCCACGGTCCATGCGTAACATTCTTCAATATATATTTGCATTTTAAATGCTACCTCTTTCTCTTTCAAAAAATCTTTTTTCACTTATTAAGTACACTAACATCGATATTGCATTCTTTCAATCTATTCTTACTCCGTGTTTGTAAATGAAACACAAACTTGTTCATATTTTCCAAGTATTTGACATGGGTGCACTCCTTATTTGACCATCCACCTTATTGAGAATCATTGTTGTCATTATCATACCATGTCAAAGAATCTACATGTTTTAAAGTACAAAGACATAATAAATATTACGTAAAAGGAGAGAAAAAGCACAAGCTCAATTACAAAATGCACAAATTGCAGCGGTGTTGGCAGCAACAACGCCAAGCTTCAGTTGGGCTGCGTCGGGTTTTCTGCTCGACTAGTAGAGTCTGGTTTTTTGTTTTGTTTATGGTTGGTGAATTAGATTGGAATAAGTAGATAAGGATTTTAGATTTTTTAAAGCATGCGACGGAAATTTTTCATCGCAAGAATTATCGCTGGTGATAGTTTTTTTTTGTTTTTATTTATCCTTCCCGATGGAATTATTCTTTTGTCAACAACCTCATTTCTATGTATGTGGTGCATTGTTACCTGCACAAATTGCACGATGAAATTATAAAATCAACATAGATTTTGTTGCGCACCTACCGTAGGATTCGTCGTAACCTACAACATAAATTATTCCGTCGTAGATTCCATCACAGATTCATCATACCATATTCTTGTAGTGAACATATCATTTAGCGCATAGTAAGGAATACTATTACGATCAACCCCAATATTCTTGAGACTAATGCACATAGCTCTTCCTTCTCAATGTGATGATGTTGGGACTGCGCGTGCCCTCACCCCAACCCCGCATTAGTATGATATTGTCCGCTCTAGGCCAAGCCCTCACGGATTTGTTTTTGGGCACCTCCCAAAAGGCCTCATACTAATGGGGTTGGGTGAACCTATATATTTTGGTCCATTTTTACTTCTCCCTCCGGTGTGGGACTTGGAGGAATCCCAACAAACCTCCCCTCATCCAAGGACCACACAACTTCCGACCTCCCCTCCAGCGGTAATCCCTTTTTTTTCTCTTTATCTGCTAACCATCTTGCACCGCCGCACACTCTTTGCGGGACACGCCGCCCGACCTCTTGTCGGGAAGACTTTCGACGCAAGGCTCGAACCGCAGATCTTTCCTTCGCTGGGCTACACCATTTGATCCGCCAAATCATCTTGTACCGTGGCTATAACTTCACAGGACGCGCCGCTCGACCTCCTCTCGTCGGGAAGACTTTCGACACAAGGCACCACCTGCAGATCCTCTTTCTTGGTCTTGGTCCTAGTTACACCGTCACACCGAGATTTTTCCACACTGCACAGTCCGCTACTCCCGCCCGCAAAACCTGGGCTCTGATACCACATGTTGGGACTGCGCGTGCCCTCACCCCAACCCCGCATTAGTATGATATTGTCCGCTCTGGGCCAAGCCCTCACGGATTTGTTTTTGGGCACCTCCCAAAAGGCCTCATACTAATGGGGTTCGGTGAACCTATATATTTTGGTCCATTTTTACTTCTCCCTCCGGTGTGGGACTTGGTTGAATCCCAACATTTGTTGGGGTATGATACGGGCCTGGACGACCAAGGGATAGAGCACGGGGACAGTGAGGTGCCGAGACGACCCCGACGACTTATACGACCACCGCAACGCTACAAGGATTATGTTTAGCTATTTTTTAATTTCAGTTATTGTAACGTAGATTTTACTAGGCGGGCAAATTATAAGCCCCTTCAAGGGTTTTCTTTTCGGTTCTTTCCCTTGACACTTTTATTGAACCGACAGGTTAGTTTCTTTTTCTTTTATTTTAGGGTTTGGGGAAAACTCACCTATAAAAGACGCATGTACGTGGACATCAAAGGCATTGAATAAAAATATTCCCCCTCTCCTAGAATCTCTCTCTCTCTCTACAACTCTAAACCCTAAAAAACCCTTCTGCCGTACTTCCCAAAGTCGCCGTAGAAGCCGGCTGCGTAGGGATTACGTCAGACAACCTCAACCTCGGGCGTATCAACTGGTGCTCTCATTCTCGATCTCATGTCTACTCCAAACGAGAGTTCGCCGGTTACCTTGGACGATATCATGCAGGCAATCACCACTCTTTCCAATGACTTGCATGCAACAAAGCTCCGTGTTGCCGAGCTTACCACTTCAAAACAGCCGCGCATGGAGGACAGACCTCGCCAACCCGGTTGGCGACCACCGCCGTCGCGCACAACTCCGCCGGCGTTTGACCCAGCCCCGCGGATGCGTGTGGACGCACCTCGCTTCTCCGGTGATGATCCGACGGGCTGGATTTTTCGGGTCCAAAAATATTTTGATTACTTCTTGACGCCCGAGCCGGAGCGATTACAATTGGTGGCTATGTTAATTGATCATCCGGCGTCCGAGTGATTCCATTATTTTCAGGCAAACAATTCGAGCGCATCATGGCACGAGTTCCTGGAGGCCGTGCACCAACGCTTCGATCCGGATTATTACGAAAATTATGTGGGTCTCCTCTCCAAACTTACTCAAACTTCCACCGTTATGGATTATCAGGCCGCTTTCGAGACTATTTTGAATAAAGTGTCGGGGGTACCCGATACCACTTTGATTGCAATGTATGTGGCGGGTCTTCGGCAGCCGCTGCAGCGCGAAGTGAACCTTCGTAGTCCGTCCACTCTACAGGAAACCTTTGCTCTTGCCCGGGAACTCTCTGCCTGCCTTGTGGAGGCAGCAAACTCTCACGCCAACGTCGGGCGGCGGCCCTGGCAGTCACGACCGGGACCCTCTGGTTCCTCCTCGTCCCCCGGGATCCTCCCTACACCTCCCATTACCATGAAGCAGACCACACCACCGCCGCGGAATTTTGATAAAACATCAAATTTGCCGATTGTTAAGTTATCCAACATCGAGAAAACGGAACGGAGTAAAAAAGGCCTATGCTGGTATTGCGACGAGCGTTGGACACCAACACACCACTGTAAACATCGCTTCCTGGTGCTCATGGGGCCGGAATAAGAGGATGCAGCATCTGACGAATTGGAAGTACAGGAAATTAATTCGGACATGGCAGTCATCTCCGCGGACATCTCCAGTATTCACTCTTTAGCGGGAAATCCAAGCCCTCGGTCCTTGCGTTTGGCAGGGATGATCAACGATGGGGCGGTGCAGGTCCTTTTGGATGGCGGCAGTACGCACAATTTCATTCACCCCGACGTCGCCGAACGCCTCGCCCTTTCCCTACATCCGGTCTCTCCTTTCCGTGTGTACGTCGGGAATGGGGACTCACTCCGTTGCACCTACTCATGCCCACAAACACCGCTCTCTTTGCAGGGCCATTGCTTCAACGTTGATTTATATCTCCTTGAAATTCACGGCCAGGATGTTGTGTTGGGTGTCCAGTGGCTACAAACCCTAGGGAAGGTTGCTCACGATTACTCCCAGATGACCATGGAGTTCTCTTGGAAGGGTGGCACTGTCACGCTGCGCGGTGATCAGCCCCACCCTCGGCCGTTGTCTTACAGCCAATTCTGCACTTTGGTGGCCACCGCCGGGGCCGGGGAGGTCTTCGAGCTACTCCTGTCCGATGCACAGCCCCCATCCTCGACCACAGGTGACATAGTCTTCCCCGGGGATCTGCCCGAACCCATTTGTCTGGTCTTGGAGCATCACACGGCTGTGTTTGGATTACCTCCAGGTCTGCCACCATCGAGAAGCTGGGATCACCGTATCCATTTGGAACCCGGCACCAAACCAGTTAATGTCCGCCCATACCGCTATCCTTATTTTCAAAAGGCGGAAATCGAGCGACAGGTGAAGGAAATGCTAGACCAAGGCCTCATCCGCCCCAGCAACAGTCCATTCTCCTCTCCTGTCTTGTTGGTACACAAGAAGGATGGGTCGTTCCGGTTCTGTATTGATTATCGCGCTCTCAACAAGGTCACCGTACCGGACCACTTTCCAATTCCCACTGCGGATGAGCTCTTTGACGAACTTGGCGCGGCCCGAATCTTCAGCAAACTGGACCTCCGATCGGGCTACCACCAAATTCGTATGCACACAGCCGATATATTTAAGACCGCTTTTCGCACACATGACGGCCACTATGAGTTTTTGGTTATGCCATTTGGGCTTACGAACGCCCCCTCTACCTTCCAGTGTGCTATGAACAACATATTCCGGGCCCATCTCCGCCGCTTTGTTATCGTCTTCTTTGATGATATCTTGATCTACAGTGCAACCGTCGAGGAACATGCCGCTCATTTGAAGACCGTCCTCTCTACCTTGTTTGCCCACTCTTTTTACGTGAAGCACAGCAAGTGCTCCTTTGGTCGCACGTCTATTGATTATCTGGGGCACTTGATCGAAGAGGGTGAGCTCAAACCTGATCCAACCAAGATATCGGCCATGGTAGCGTGGCCCACGCCCAAGTCCACGACTCAGTTGCGCGGGTTTCTTGGCCTTACGGGGTACTATCGGCGTTTTATTGCAGGTTACGCCGCCATTGCAGCCCCCCTCACCGATTTACTTAAGAAAGATGGCTTCGTGTGGGGTCCAGCGGCCGATGACGCCTTCGCCCGACTTAAGCTCGCCATGACGACCGCACCTGTTTTGCACCTACCGGACTTCTCTTTGCCATTCTATGTGGAGACAGATGCATCCTCCACCGGCATTGGTGCGGTGCTGATGCAGCGGGGTCACCCGTTGGCCTTCTTTAGCAAGAAATTGGGGCCCAAACGCCAAGCGGCGTCTACTTATCACAAAGAATTATATGCGATTGTGGAGGCCATCCAGAAGTGGCGTCAATATCTTTTGGGTCGTGAATTTATCATCCGCACAAATCAACGCAGCTTGAAGGAGTTACTGTCACAGGTGGTTCAGACACCCGAACAACAACTTTATGTCCGAAAACTTATGGGATTTAAGTTTCGGATTGAGTATAAAACGGGGGCAACTAATAAGGCGGCGGATGCATTGTCACGCCAAACGGATGAGGATGATGCCGCGGGGTTTTTTATGGCACTTGCTCAGCCGGTGCCACACTTACTACGTGACTTACAAAGGGAAAACGAGACGTTACCCGACCTACTGGCGCTTCACAGGGAGGTCACGCGCAGGGTGGCTTCGGCCGAATTCTCCGTCCACAACGGCCTGCTATACTACAAAACCCGCCTCTACATCAGCCCGACTTCTCCCTTGCGCGACATACTACTGACAGAGTTCCATGCCACGCCGACCTCCGGGCATCAAGGCGCCGAGCGCACCTTTAGGAGGATAGCGCAGGTTTTTTATTGGCCCAATCTGCGTCGCGAAGTGCGCCGTTTTGTTGCTTCGTGTATGGTCTGTCAAACCACAAAATATTCCACACAAAAACCTGGGGGTCTCCTTCAACCACTGCCAGTGCCCGAGCAGGTGTGGGATTCGGCTTCCATGGATTTTGTCACCGGTCTACCGCCGTCTCACGGGTTCTCTGTCATAATGGTGGTTGTCGACCGTTTGAGCAAGTACGCTCACTTTGGGCCTTTACACGCTGGATTTGACGCACCGCGAACGGCTCAACTCTTTGTTGATATAGTCGTTAAACATCATGGCTTTCCTCGGTCTCTTATCTCAGATCGGGATCCGGTTTTCATGAGTCAATTTTGGAAGGAATTGTTACGTCTGAGCGGCACATCTCTGAAATTCTCTACGGCCTATCACCCGCAATCGGATGGTCAGACAGAGGTGCTCAACCGGAGCTTAGAACAATACTTGCGAGCTTTCACTTCGGAACGGCCGCGCCAGTGGTCACGCTTTCTTCCCTGGGCCGAACTCGCACTGAATTGCAGCCACCACGAGGGTTTGCGCGCCTCCCCCTTCCAGGCCTTGTACGGTCGGCCTCCTCCATCTGTCTTCCCTACACTCTCAGTGCGGGCCAAAGCTGCTGAGGTTGAGACCTTGTTGCGTGAGCGAGCGGAGTTACTGGCCGATCTGCGGGCCAATCTCATCAAAATGCAGCAGCGGATGCGCTCACAAGCCAATCAGCATCGTCGGGATGTTTCCTTTGCGGTTGGAGATTTAGTTCTTCTCAAACTCCGCCCTTATCGCCAACATTCGGTGGCTAGACCGTTGTCATCCAAGCTTGCCCGGCGTTACTACGGGCCGTTTGAAGTTTTGGAGCGCATAGACGCAGTGGCATACCGTCTTCGTCTTCTAGAGGGCTGCCGAATCCACGACGTTTTCCACGTCTCTCTGTTGAAGCCTTTTGTTGCTCGTGATGGCAGTACCCCCACAGCAACACTGCCAGCCGATTTCTTTAAAGGACAGCCGGTTTCTTTCCCCGTGGTTGCCATCTCTAGCCGCACGGTTTTAGTGGATGGTGAATTGCAAGAGCAGTGGTTGGTTCGGTGGACAGATGGCACAGATGCGGACGCCACCTGGGAGCCTGTCAAGGATTTGGTGCAGCACTATCCTGATCTTCGCCTTGAGGACAAGGTCGCTCTCGAGTCCGGGGGAGTTGATACGGGCCTGGACGACCAAGGGATAGAGCACGGGGACAATGAGGTGCCGAGACGACCCCGACGACTTATATGACCACCGCAACGCTACAAGGATTATGTTTAGCTATTTTTTAAATTCAGTTATTGTAACGTAGATTTTACTAGGCGGGCAAATTATAAGCCCCTTCAAGGGTTTTCTTTTCGGTTCTTTCCCTTGACGCTTTTATTGAACCGACAGGTTAGTTTCTTTTTCTTTTATTTTAGGGTTTGGGGAAAACTCACCTATAAAAGACGCATGTACGTGGACATCAAAGGCATTGAATAAAAATATTCCCCCTCTCCTAGAATCTCTCTCTCTCTAAAACTCTAAACCCTAAAAAACCCTTTTGCCGTACTTCCCAAAGTCGCCGTAGAAGCCGGCTGCGTAGGGATTACGTCGGACAACCTCAACCTCGGGCGTATCAGGGTATCCCTCCTACATGGAGGAAGGAGTTCCTAAACTATACATTTGGTGTTAAAAATGTAATTGGTTTAGAGTTGGTTGCTATAATAATAATAATAATATTTATTATTATTATTATTATTATAAAGGAAAATTGTGAGTGGTGGGGGCTACCACTTACTTATTATTGGTGCCATTATTTAGAAAAGGCTTTGCCTTTGTTTTGGCCTCTCACGGCAGAAAAACAGAGAAGAAATGGGGTGAGAGCCGAGATAAGGAAGAAGGGAGAAAAGAAGAGGTGCAGCATGGTTTTGTGCTCCGATCGATGACCAAACGAGCTCCGATTGGGATGAAATTTTAGTATGTTGTTCCTCACTTCCTCTTCTTCATATCCAACAGTGGGATTGTTGTTTTGACCTCTCGATGTCGGTAAAATCGCCTTTGTTTACTGCTGCGTTTTTATTGGGGATTTCTCACTTTTGAGTGAAGATCATTGTTGTTTGGTGTTCCAAGTTATTACTTGATGATTGTGTATACCTCTAATTGATTTAGAGAGGATTCTTGCTGTACCCACTGATTTTCTTGGTGATTAGTGGAAGGCTTCGTGGTTTTTTCCCCGATTTAGGGTTTCCACGTTAAATCTTGGTGTTCGTTTATCGCTTGATTGATTGCTTGTTGTTGTGTTTGCTATTCTTGATCGGTCATATGATTTTGCCCATTTTGACAACACAAAGACGGGAAAATTATTTATTGCTTCCGCTAGAAAATTGAGGTGATTTTCCCAACAATTGGTATCAGAGCTTGAGTCATATTTTTTGGTGATTTTCTTGTGTTGTTAAAATGGAAGATAAAGCTGTTTTGGGGGAATGCTTAAATTGACCTCCTCCAATTATCAAAGTTGGAAAC